CGGAAGTTGCGCCGCACCCGCCCGGGACTGTCAGGTCTGCACCCCGCACTCCAGGCCCGGTCCGTTCGTGCTCCGAGCGCTACCCGCTTTGCGGGCATCACTTCCGTCCAGCCGGACCACCTCCCTGCCTGTTTGCGCGCAGAGAAATCGGAGCTCAGAGAGGTTAAGCTGTTGCCTAAGGTCCTCATCCGAGCTCACGAGACTAATATGCTGTGACTTCAAGTCCTCCCCTTTCCACCTCCTCGGATTCATCTAATTTGTACCTCGAGTCCCTTGGGCGTCCCCACGGGCGCAGGCATCCCCTGCACACCCCTGTCTTACTCCTTTGCTCCCCACCCCCTTCCTGTATACAACTGGGCCTAGTTATCTGGGGCTGAATGAGGACATAGTCCAAAAAGCAGGACCAGATGAGTAAATATATAAAGCAGAACGCTTAGGTATATAGTTAGTATTTTTAAAAGTTAACAAATACTGTTTACTAGGGAAAAAAAAATAATTGCGGTCCAGCCTGTCCCGACAGTTCATGATATGTGGGGTCTATATACCCATGTATACGGCTCCATTTTATATTTCCCTGCTCCGTTTTTTCCTGATGTGTCCTGCTCCCTGCTCGTTTCTGTCATCTCCATCAAGCCTTCCCCACATGCACTTCACAGCAGCCCCTCATATTGACTCCCTCAATCCCCGTGTATCATATTTCTCCCTTCACACACACCCCTTGAAACCCTCCCTTCACACCTGCTCCCTTTGCATACCCCACATAATGTACTCTCCACGTGCTGTTTTCCCCGTACTGCCTCCCACATCTCTTACTGCAATATCCTGACCCTTCTGCTGGTCCTCACTTGGTGGCTCCATTACTCCTGCTCTTTTGGGGCCTTCTGTATACTCCTCATAACTCCTCAACATGTGATGCAATACCTGCTAAATACAGTGGGGCCTTGACTTACGAGTTTAATTCGTTCCGTGACGGAGCTCGTAACTCAGATTACTTGTATGTCAAATCAAAAAGTGAACGAGTGAGACACGTGATGCTGGGCTGATGTTGTGGCATTCACTGTGACGTTCGCTGGGCCAACTAGCGGTGGGGTATCTGAAGCTGGCTTGTAACCCGAATTTTAGCTCGCAACTCAAAGCAAAAAATCGGTCGAGAGACGGCTCGTCTCTCGAAAAACTTGTTAGTTGGGACACTCGTAAGTCAAAGCCCCACTGTAAACCAATGAACGGCCCCTCTGGGCACTGGAATACTATGCAGCAGATAAAAAGAATGAGGTAGTGCTGTATGTACTGTCATGGAATGATGCCCGAGAAATACATTCTTGTTTTTTTCCCCCAAGTGTTTATCCCCCAGTTCCTCCCTTCAGAGACAGTCACTGCTTTTAGTTTCTTATTCTAGAAATGTTCGTTGCATAAATTAGCAAATGCATAATTAACCCATCTTTTCCAAAAGACTCCCATAATAGTATATATAGTGTTAAGAGGGAGAAACAAAATATGGAGCAGCATATGTACTATCCCAGTTGTTTAAAATGTCTGTACTATATATGTTTCTGTATATTTCTAGAGCCATGCTGTCCAAACAGTAGTCAGTAGCCACATGTAGCTCTCCAAACTTAAAATAATTAAAATTCATTAAAAAGTGAAAACTCAGTCTCTCAGTTGCTCATGAATGTAATCATAAAAATACTGTAGAGGTGTGTGAAATAGTTTAATATTGTCATTGTCTTAATACTGTCATATTTTCTTCCAATCTTTACAATTTAGGGACAACAAAGAAGAAGAGTTAATCGAAAAATTGGAGGTGGTCACCGTGCCTTCCCCATCACCAAAAGGACTGCCAGTGAAGCAGTATGCTGTCCAGTCGCAGCTGCCAGTGTATGAGTGGCCAGATGTGGGATCTGGAGAATATGATGTTGGAGTGGTCGCTTCATTTGGCCGACTTTTGAGTGAGGCTCTTATTCTTAAATTTCCCTAGTAAGTTTTATTTATAAGGAAATATAGTAGAGAGACCTTGGTCTTTATTTATGGACCTGGTATCTACAAAATGCAATAATATGAACTCTAATTCCTCTTTCTTTAGTATTTTCTCTTAAAATAAAACATTTTATTAATGGTATGAATTGTTAAAATGTATGATGCTCTTTCACTCACCCTCATTTAAATTTTATATATATGCTGCCCAGCCCAACCCATGCACCTGGAGGTCAGCAGGGTATTTCCGGTCAGGGCTGCAGGCTCCATCCCCAGCAGGGGGCGTGCAAGAGGCCACAAAAATGTTGATGTTTCTCATCCATGTTTCTATCTCCCCCTTCCTCTCTCTCTAAAATCAATAAAAAACTTTTTAAAATTTCATATATATGCTGACAACTCCCAAATGTGTCCCGCCAATTCAGATCTCTCCCAGAATTCCAGGTCCCTAATGCCCACTGCCTCCTCCACAGCCCTGTTTGGATGTCTAGCAGACATCCAACATTTGAAAGGTCCAGAACTATATTCCTGAACTTTTGCCCAAAATCTGCTCCTCCCCAAAATCTTCATCTCAGCAGATGGGACCTCCAGCCTTCTGGTTGCTTAGCTCCCAAACCTTGGAGTCATTCTTAATTCCTTATCTCACACCACATGTTTAATCCATCTGGAAATACTACTGGCTCCGCCTTTGAAATCTGTCTGGAATCTGTTTCTCATCATTTCCACTCTGGCCACTCACCTGTTGTACTGCAGTAGCTTCCTAATTGGCCTCTACTTTTGTCGTTGGCCCTCTCACTTTTTTACCAACCCAGCAGCCAAAATGATCCTTTTAAAGCATAAGTCAGACCAGTCACTGCTCAAAGTTCTCTGGTGGTTTTCCATCTCACTCAAAAGTTAAAGGCCTGTGAGGACCGGCTTACTTGGTTTGGTCTGCTGGCTCTCTGGGCTCATTTCCTAGTACTATTCCTAGTTTACTCCACTCCAGCCACACTAGCCTCTCTGCTGTGCCTTGAACTTGCCAGCATTTACCTTCCTCAAAACCTTTGTACTGTACCTAGTGTTCCCTCTGCCTGGAAAGCTTTTCTTCTGTATATCTGCATGGCTATTCCTTTACCTTCTCATGTTTCTGCCCAGTGTCTTCTTACTGGTAAAGCCTTCTTAAACCACTATTTAAATTGTAATCTCCCACCCAATAGTCTTATCCCCTTCTCTGCTTTATTTTTCTCCATAGCCCTTAGCACCACTGACAGACTTTTTACATATTCTGTTTTTTATTGCTTATCTTCCACTCCTCACATTGTCACATAAGCTCCCTGAGGACAGGTTTGGTTCACTGTTGCTTGTATCCACAGCACTTAGCACATTGCCAGCACATGCATTATGCTCAGTTAATATTTGTTGAAGGAGTAAGACTGAGCTGAACAGTGAAACTTACAATATAAGACCCACATTCACACATTCTCAAGTGCATACTCATGCCAATGGGAGACATTAAACTAATGACAGATCAGCAAATTATTTAAATTGCTCATTAATGGGTGATAGGAGTATTGGGATAAACAGTGAAGATGATGGTACTAAAAGAAGCTTGTTTTAGGCATCTATATGCAAACCAAGAGAAGTGAGGGTAATTATGTAACTAAACTATCTGAGATGCATGTCAGGGTTTGAGTGGTTCTCATATAGTAAAAAAAAAATGCATTTTTTTGTTTTGTTTAAAAACTCCCAGACATCATGAGCTGTTTTGCAACATCTTTGTAACAGTGAATAGTTGTTCTTGCTCTGTTTTTAATTGAGTTTCATTGGTCTCTTATGGTAGAGTGAATTTAGCTCTGGCTCCCTGTTCTGGTAGTACAAGACTAGATTTAACTGTTAGTTTTTCTAAATTTTGGGGAAAGTTTAATGATAAAAGGTAGCATATTAGTTTAGATAGTAGTAAGTAAATGGCACAATCCACTTGCATACTAATTTCTGCCTTTTCTAACTCAGTGGCATATTGAATGTCCACCCCAGTTGCCTCCCAAGGTGGCGTGGTCCAGCCCCTATAATCCATACTGTGCTTCACGGAGACACAATTACTGGAGTAACAATTATGCAAATCAGGCCTAAAAGGTAAGAGCTTATTTTATTTTCTTGAGATTTTCTTGGTGATTTTGAATGTTGATATCAGTTCATTGGAGGGGCTGGGTATGGATGAATGGATGATGCTCTAATTTCTCCAACTCCAGAGTCCTTCCTTTGCTTTTATACTTTTTCTCTTTTTTCCTGATTTCTAACATAAGCCATATGTGTTTTGGTATTTATGCCCTTGTGACATTTTTAACTTGTTAATTGAAATAAATTATATTATTAGCAACTGGATTTTTATAAAAGATGTTATGTAAATGAGAAATAGATTTTTGTATAGTAGTTGTTATGAATCTTGGTTCTACTGGCCCTGGTTTCTATAGTAAAACTATGGTCAAAAATGTTTTGGAACCTGACATAAGAATATATTGTATACCAATAATTTTCTTAAACATTTAATTTTTTTATTATACCTGCAGTCCAAGAAATAATTATTTACAACTGCTTCAGGAATGTATTAAGACTCTGCCAATTGTCACCTTATGTCCCCATAGAAACTAATTCACAAGTTCAGAAGAACAACTCAATATCTGGGATTTGCTTTAATTCAGAAAAAGGGTGGGGGAAGTGTCAAAACTTTGATAATTCTAAAATCTGGGTAATGTATATATGGTGATTCATTAGACTATTCACTGTTTTTGTGAATGTTTGTGATTTTTCATAATAAACATTTTACTAAAACTTATAGGTTAAAAATAGAATTAACAGGTCTACAAAGTTAAATATTCAAAGTAAAGCATATTTCTAATAAAAACTAATGGCCAGTATTTCAGAGCTTGATGTAAAATATAAGACTTGTGGGAGTGCAAATGTACTTGCACCTACTTATAATCAACAGTGATTATAATCTAGGCAAAACTCTTGTCCTTTGAGAAAGGAAATATAGAAAGAAATAATTAGGAATGTTTTTATTGTACTTCCTTGGAAAAGAAATTCTTTGCTCTATGATTTCATTATACAAATAGAGATTTTTTTCATAGTATTTATTACTAATGATAGAATTATCTATAATTGCAATCAAACCCCTGATTAGCAACTTTATACTTTTATCCATTAAGAAAAATAAATTTAAAATCTAAGTACAGGCCAGATTTTACTCACCTTTCTTTCAAACTGACATTTATCTTTGCTAATGGTTAACAGTCAAATTTGTGGCCAAGGTTAAACTATCCTGGTAGTGTGTAAATGCTCATGTAGACAGACATTTTGATTGAAAGAAACTGTCAGTAATCACATTACTATTTTTTTTTTTTTTTTTTAGATTTGATGTAGGTCCAATTCTCAAACAGGAAACCATTCCTGTGCCCCCCAAGAGCACTGCAAAGGAATTGGAAGTAGTGCTGTCAAGACTGGGTGCCAACATGGTACAGTTCTCGATATCACACTGCTTTTATTCATTTAGTAGATTTCCTAAGTGGTTATGATGAGAAGAACAATTTTATGATATATGGTTTTAATTCTTTAAGAGTGAGGTCCAATTCTCAAACAGGAAACCATTCCTGTGCCCCCCAAGAGCACTGCAAAGGAATTGGAAGTAGTGCTGTCAAGACTGGGTGCCAACATGGTACAGTTCTCGATATCACACTGCTTTTATTCATTTAGTAGATTTCCTAAGTGGTTATGATGAGAAGAACAATTTTATGATATATGGTTTTAATTCTTTAAGAGTGATTTCTATCCCTGACTTCCTAAAAATTAACATGGCATTTATGGTCTCATGTGTGTCTGAGAATTTACACAGTTTGGGTATTTAGTAAAGGTTTTCAAATGAAACACGTGACCTTATGTGGGCCATAGTTTCACAGCAAGGCATAAACCAGCGGTTCTCAACCTTCCTAATGCCGCAACCCTTTAATATAGTTCCTCATGTTGTGGTGACCCCAACCATAAAATTATTTTCATTGCTACTTCATAACTATAATTTTGCTACTGTTATGAATCGTAATGTAAATATCTGATATGCAGGACGTATTTTCATTGTTACAAATTGAACATAATTAAAGCATAGTGATTAATCACAAATACAATATGTAATTATATATGTGTTTTCCGATGGTCTTAGGCGACCCCAGTGAAAGGGTCGTTCGACCCCCAAAGGGTCGCGACCCACAGGTTGGCGACCCACAGGTTGAGAACCGCTGCTTTAAACTATCCTTCCCCGTTTCACTCTCCTCAGTTTCATCTGAATTTCCTAAGTGACTCATGGCTTCCCTCCAAGCACTTCTGTGCCTGTGTTCCAGTCATTTGCATCCATATGGAATTCTGCTGACCCCCAGCTATACATGAACTCCATGGCTTTGTATAGCTCATTGAATCTGTATACAGTAGGGTCTGAGTAAATGCTTAATAACCAAATTAATGATTTTCATATGAACTAGTTAATTTTCTATAGAAGGAAACTTTCCCCCCAACTATATAGATGGTGTCCTATTCCAGCTACTCACCTTGCAAATGCTACTATAATAGTGGTTGTCATTTATTGAGCACTGACTTGTGTGCCAGGATACTTTATAGACTTATTTTTTTACTTTTCCAACAAACTTTGAGGTAGCTCTTGCTGGTGACTGTTTTACAGATGATGCCATTGAAGATCACAGACAAGTAAAATAACTTTTCCACAATGACACAGCTAGTAGGTAGTGGAATTGGGATTTGAATCCAGAACTATGTGATCCCAGAGTACACTCTGAGAGGCTCCACTGCCTTCCTCCCTGCAGGATGAGAGTGTGGATAACCGAGCATAGTCTGTCCTGATCCTGAAAGCTTGCACATCCAGTCAAAGCTCAGCATTCACTGGAAGCACATCAATGACCTGCACTCTACAGAGAGCAGCATCTCTACTGAATCCCCACCGAGTAGACACGTGTGCTCACAGCTTGGGCCAATTTACTACCTTACCTGCCACACAGCTTTTAAAGCTATAGATAGTAATTTCATGATACTGAGTTGTAATATATTTCTGCTTTTGTTCTTTTCATCTTGAATATATTGCTCTCCTTTTTTAGCTTATTTCAGTTTTGAAAAATTTGCCTGAAAGTTTGAACAATGGAAGGCAGCAGCCAACTGAGGGGGTGACACATGGTAAGTGAAAGCTACGGAGACTCTTATCCCTCCCATAGGTTTCCTTTGTCTTTTTTTTTTTCTTTATTGATTTTTAGAGAGAGGCAGGGAGGGAGAGAGAGACAGAAAAAGAAACGTAGATTTGTTGTTCCACTTCTTTACGCATTCATTGGTTGATTTTTAAAAATATGTGTTTTTATTGATTTTAGAGAAAGGAAGGGAGAGAAATAGAAATATTGATTGATCGGCTGCCTCCTGCACACCCCCTACTGGGGATCTAGCCCACAACCCAGGCATGTGCCCTGACCAGGAATCGAACTGGACACCTCTTGGTGCATGGGATGATGCTCAACCACAGAGCCACACCAGCCAGGCTAATTGGTTGCTTCTTGAATGTACCCTGACTGGGAATTGAACCCACAACCTTGGTGTATCGGGACAACGCTCTAACCAACCGAGCTACCTGGTCAGGGCAAAGGGTTTTGTTTGACTTGATAGCATCTGAACACTTTGACTTCTTCATTTGCACATTTCTCTTAATTTTGACTAAAGATTGAATGCCCACTTGTATGGCCTTTTCTAAAGAATGGTTGGTTGCCCTAACTGGTTTGGCTCAGTGGATAGAGCATCAGCCTGCGGACTGAGGGGTTCTGGGTTCGATTCCGTTCAAGGGCATGTACCTTGGTTGCAGGCACATCCCCAGTAAGGGGCGTGCAGGAGGCAGCTGATCGATGTTTCTCTCTCATTGATGTTTCTAACTCTCTATCCCTCTCCCTTCCTCTTCTGTAAAATCAATAAAATATATTTTAAAAAAGAATGGTTGGTAAGGTCTCCCTCTCCCTGTTAACATGCAGTTTCATGAAAGAATAGAAATGTTTTCTCTACTCTTTATGTTGAAAAGTATCAGACACAGAGATAAGTTGAAAGATTGACTATCTATGTAACCCAGAGTCAACAATTATTAATGTTTGGCCATATTTTCCTTTGTTTTCTCTAAATGTGTGTTTGTTTAGTATATGTATTTTAATTTCTGCTTAACCATTTGGAAGTATACATCATGACCTTTCATCCCTAAACACGTCAGCATGCATCATGAGAAATGAACAGTTCCACAATAGCACCTAATATCCAATCTATATTTAAATTTTCCTAATTTTCTAAAAACATTTTATGCTGTATATTTTTCAAACTGAGATCCAATTGTAATTAGCTGTTATGTCCCTTTATTCTCTTTAATCTATAGTAATTAATTCCTCCACTATTTTTTCCCTTCCATGTTACTGACTTTTTCTTAAAATATATTTTCTTATTGATTTCAGAGAGGAAAGGAGCGAGAGAGATAGAAACATCAATGATGAGAGAGAATCATTGACTGGCTGCCTCCTTCATGCCCCTCAATGCGTGACTTATGGCATTTCTTTTTGTCTTGCAAAAGTTTATTTTTATGTAGTCACATTTATGATCCTTTTCTTTAATTGCGTTTGAATTTTGAATTAGAGGATTTTTTTCTATACTTAGGTTATAAAGAAATTCACCCATGTTTTCTTCTAGTACCTGCATAATTTATTTATTTTTATTTTGTATTATGGAAAATTTCAAACATATACAAAAATTGAGAAAATAATGTAATGAATTAATCTTGTATCTATTATTCAGCATCAGTAGTTATCAGTTCATGGACATTGAACTTGCTATTCATTCTTGCCATTGGCTTTATCTTGTAGCCCCTAAGATTTCTGCTCGTACCAGCTGTATAAAATGGGAGGAACAAACTTCAGAGGAAATATTCAGACTTCATCGTGCCATTGGAAATATAGTAAGTTGGAAGTCAGAATACAGTTTTACTTAATTTTGTGTGTACTTCACTTTCAAAATATTTTTATTTAGGAATGAGTCTGATCAACTAAACCTTAAAAGTTCTGAAATTCATTTTTTATTGTGGTGAAATATACATAACATAAAATTTACCATTTTAACCACTTTAGGTCAGTAACATTAAGTAACCTCTGATCTTTAGTTTGTTCTTCAGAAAATTAGGGCTGATATAATATATATAAAACATCTATTATGACCAGATTACAGTATATGGCACAGAGGAGGTATTCATTAAATGATATCTGCTATTATTTATTCATTCATTAAACAGAATATTTAAGGCCCATATTATGTCAGGCGTTATCCCAGGTATTATAGATAAAATGATGTGGGAAGACAACAAATAAGCAAATAAATGAAAATATCAGATAGTGTGATAAGTTCTTTGATGAAAATTTTAAAAGGATAGACTAACTGGAGGTTATTTTAGATCGGCTAGATGGGGAAGGCCTCTGAACTAACATCTAAGCTGCGATCTGAAAAACAGTAAGGAGCCAGCCATGCCGAGATCAGTAAGAGCATTCCAAGCAGAGGCAAAACCAGATAAAGACATTACAAGAAAAGTAAACTAAAAATCAATATCCCTTATGAATATAGAGGCAAAACCCCTCAACATAATTAACATACTGAATCAAACAACATATGGAAAAGGATTATACACTATGACGAAGTGAGATTTATCCAAGGAATGCAAGGTTGATTCACTATACAAAAATCAATCAAAGCAATACGCCATTCTAATAGAATAAAGGACAAGAGCCACAGAATTGTCTCAATAGATGCAGGAAAAACATTTTACAAAATCCAATGTCTTTTTATATATATATATATATAGATTTTTATTGATTTCAGAAAGGAAGGTGACAAAATCCAATGTCTTTTTTTTATATATATATAGATTTTTACTGATTTCAGAAAGGAAGGGAGAGAGAAATAGAAACATCAATCGTGAGAATTACTGATTGGCTGCCTCCTGCACACCCCCTACTGGGGATCAAGCCTGCAACCTCAGCATGTGCCCTGACTGGGAATCAAACCATGACCTCCTGGTTCATAGGTCGATGCTCAACCACTAAGCCATCCTGGCCAGGCCAGTGTCCTTACTGATTTTAAAAAAATGCTCAATAAACTAAGAATAGAAGGGAACTTTCCCAACCTGATAAAGAGCATCTACCAAAAAACCCTCAGTTAACATATTTAATAGTGAAAAACTGAAAGCTTTCCCCCGCTAATATCAGGAGCAAGAGAACTATCACCATTGCTATTCAACAGTGGAGGTAATAGCGCAATTAGGCAAGGAAAAGATACAAGGAGCCAGATTGGAAAGGAAGAAGTAAAACTATCTCTATTTGCAGATGGCATGATCTTAGATAGAGAAAAACAAAGAATCCCCCCAAAATGTTAGAGCTGGTAAACAGTAAAGAAGACCTAATAAACAGAAAGACCTCTGTGTTCATGGACTGGAAGACAATATTGTTAAGATGGTATCATTTCCCAAATTGACCTACAGATTCGACACAATTACTATACAAATCCAAGTTAACTTCTTTGCAGAAATTGACAAGCTGATTCTAAAATTCATACCAAATTCCAGGAAGACCAGAATAGCCAAAAATTCTTTAAAAAAAGAACAAAGTTGGTGGACTCACACTGCCTGATTTAAAAACTTGCTGCAAAGCTACAGTAATCAAGTGTGGTACTGACAAACATAGATATACAGCTCAGTGGGATAGAATTGAGAGGCAATAATAAACCCATACATTTGTGTTCAATTAGTTTTTTGTAAGGGTGCCAAGACAATTTGATAGGGAAATTTCACCACATGGAGTTTGGACAAGTGGATATTCACAATCAAAAAAAATGAATTTGGAGTCCTACCTCACACTATGTATAAAAAATGAACTCAAAATGGATTAGAGACCTAAATATGGGATCTAAAACTATAAAATTCTTGGAAGAAAACAAGGGTAAATTTTAATGACTTTGAATTAGACAATGGTTCTTAGATATCTTGCCTAAAGGATAAGCAACCAAACTAAAAATAGAGAAATTGGACTTGAAAATTAAAAACTGTTGGGCTTCACCCTGGCCAGGTGGCTCAGTTGGTTGGAGTGTTGTCCTGTACACCAAAAGGTTGCAGGTTTGATTCTCAGTCAGGGCACATACCTAGGTTGTGGATTCTATCCCTGGTCTAGGCGCATACAGGAGGCAGCTGATCAATGTTTCTCTCCCAAAAAAAACAATATAAAAGAATATCCTCAGGTGAGGATTTAAAAAAACAGTTAGGCTTTAAAAAACATTCCCAGAAAATGAAAAGGCAACCTATAGAACAGAAGAAAATATTTGTAAAACACATATCTAATAAAGATCTAGTATCCAGATTATATAAAGAACTCTTAAAACGCTACAGCAAAAAGACAACCTGATTAGGGAATGCACAATGGATCTGACATGTCTCCCAAGGAGACATATAAATTACCAATAAACCCATGAAAACATGATCAACTTCTTTAGTCATTAGGAAAATGCAAATCAAAACTACACTGAAATACCACTTCACACCTACTAGGATCACTATAATTAAAAAAACAGACAGTAAAAGTGTTGACACAGATGTGGAGAAATTTGGAACCTTCATACATTGGTAGTGGGAATGTAAAATGGTGCAGCTGCTGTGAAAAACAATTTGACAGTTCCTCAAAAAGTTAAACACGGAGATATATTACTACATAAGGATCCTTATTTCTGCAATTCACCTTTCCTCGCCACTAAGAAAAGCTGGTGCTCTAATAGAAAGAGCCAGAAGGTGCGATTTAATTCCTAGAGCTTCCATTTACTATGAAGAGCAAAACCCTTATCTTCTCTGAGCTTCTGCTTTTTTACCGCTAAAGAGGGGTTAATTACCCCGTTCACAACTGTCAAGATCAAAGGAGATAAACTGTGAATTTAAATCTATGCAAACATATCATTTTAACAGTAATGATGGTGGACACCGAAATGACTATATTTTTACCATCTCTTTCCTTTCTGCAATGCTCTGATGATAGATGAAGATAAGCTTTACCTCCTCAAGAATAAAAACTATTTTTGGGGCCCTGGCTGGGTACCTCATTTGGTTATATTATGGTCCCAATACACCAAGGTTGTGGGTTTGATCGGTCAGGGCACGTACAAGAAGCAACCAATGAATAAAGGAAGTGGAACAACATATTGATGTTTCTCTCAAATCAATTTAAAAAAAGAGCTGTATGTTTTTATTATATTCCTAACATATTCATAGCTCTCAGTATATATAAACCTCTTTTTAGTCAGTAAGCATGTTTCTAAAGTATTTTGAGTTCTTTGAAAGAAAAAGGTTACACACATGAAAAAACTTCTATTGGAAGCAATATGAGTGAAGCAAAATGTGTTAGCAAGTTATAAAAGAGAATACTGTACCAAATGTGTCATATCTAAGAATATGAACACTATGAACTTTTCTTCAAATTTAATATTTTAAATTTAATGTTCAAATCTTTGCAACCACTTAACTCTTCTAAAAATTAAATGTCTTCTTTAAGGGATCTCATAAAAAGAGCACTGAGCTGAGGATGAAAAAACATGGATTCTGATCCTCTGCTCTGCTACTAACCAGCTGTGTCTAACCTTGGGAAAAAGAGCTGCATTTCCCTGGGCCTCGTTTTCTTCACCTATGAAATAAGATCAAGCTACACAGTCTGAAAATAAACTTATTTTTAATTCAGAAAATTGAGAGAACTTATTTTCTGCTATGTGTTAATTTTGTTAACATCTTTAAATCAAGTTCTAGGGTGTCAGATATATATTATGTAATAAAGGTGGCATTTCACATTGCAGGAAAGGGTGAGATGGATTATCCAGTGAATAGCACTGGGACAACTGGTTAGCCTTAGAGAGCTACCTTTTAAAATCAAAATAACATTTAAATGGATCAGGGATTTAATTTTTTTACAAATCCCACCAAAGACGGAAGAAAACACAATTAAATAATTGTATAAGATTTAATAATCTTGAACTATAGGGAGGGCCTCCTTAAGCATGACATGAACCACTGAAGTTATGAGAGAAAAGACTGATAATATTACTCCATAAATATAAAAAATTTATGCATGAAAAAAAATAGTATAAAAAGTCAACTAACTGAGAAAAGATTCATAACACTCCAGAATTAAAGGGCTAATTTCCTAAAAATATAAAAGGCTTTCACGAATTAATAGGCAAAGATGAACAACTCAGTTTTATTGAAAAATGGGCAAAGAGCATAAATTGGTAGTTTTCATAAAAAACAAAATGTGCAAGTAAATATATGGAATGCTTCTCGGCATCACTAATAAACAATGTATTGTCATTTTTTTCTGTCAGCATTTTAACAGTGAAATGTTGATGCTTTTTAATCCAGGTAGCCCATTAAAAAAGCAATAACTAGTTCAGCTGGTGTGGCTCAGTTGGCTGGGTATCATCCCATGCACCAGGAGATCACAGGTTTGATTCCTGGTCAGGGCACATGCCCAGTTTGCGAGCTCAATCCCTGTAGGAGGCAGCCAGTGTTTCTCTCTCATCGATGTTTCTATTTCTCCCTCTCCCTTCTATTCTCTGAAATCAATAAAAACATATATTTTTAAAAAGAAGCTATTAATAAAAAAAACAGCTATCCTCAAATATATATGTATAAAATTCCTCAAATATATAAAAATCCTCAAACATATATCTAGCAGGCTATTACCACGTTTTACAATTTTATAATAGCAAAAAATTAAAAATAATGAATATTGATCATAAACATACTGGTTTCATAAATTATGGTACATTCATAAAATGACATACTATATAGCAGATAAAAAGAGTGAAATAGATAAGTGTGTACTAATGAAAAGTCCATGATTTATGGTTAAGTAAAAAAAGTTCCTTATAAAACTGTATGTTCTAGATTTTTAATAATAATATTTGTAGGGGAAAAAAGGATATTATATCCACCAAACTGTTAACAGTGGTTACCTCTGGGGATGGGAGTACAGAATAGTTTTATTTGCTAAATTTTTAAT